CCCGCCCATGTGAGCATGTAAATGAGGGAGCAAATGCCCATGTACTCTCCCCTCCTTGGGCTCCTCTATCACATCTTCTTTCCTTTTGCTCACCCCAAGTCAGCGAGTGTATGAATGCACATGCACCCAGATCCCACCACACTACCAGTTTTATATCCTTCCATCATCAAAGATTTGACTGCTGACTAAGCCTAGTTTCATGGAACAAAGGTCAAGGTGGATACCAGTGTTACTGAAATTCCTATTTAAAATGGCATGAGGCAGCAGCAAATAAGCCACAAATAATCCAACTGGGAAGGTTAAACCTGCGTATATGGTGGAAATATGACTGTTTATGCCATCTTTCTCCTTATGAAGAATTCAGGAAATCAATCAATGAGGGAATATTCCCCATTGTGTTTCACATTACATTTTTAAAAAACTTTTTAAAAAACAGGTTATGAGTATGATACAAAGTTGAAATGTAAAAAACAAACAAACAAACAAACAGTGCTTCAAAAACCATTCAAAGTGAGAGATCAGTTTCACCTTTTAAAGTATCAAGAACCAGTACTGTATTTGTTCTTGCTGCCTCTTTATTTCTTTCCTTAAAATTCCTCATGCATCAGACTGATATATAAAATTGTTTCAAACTTCTGTTTTCAATTGAACACTGGTCTTTGTGGAGGTAGCACCACTTTAGTGACAATGCTCCAGAATATTTTTTACAGGAAAGCCTACATAAATGCATGTCTCCAAATATTAATTTGGAGACATGCATTTACTATATTTATATTTACTATATTTATATACCGCCTTTCTCACCCCAAGGGGGGGGGGAGCTCAAGGCGGTTTACAATGGCAAAAATTCAATGCTGATATCTATGTAGAAAAAAATAGTAATAACTAACATATAATTATAAATTAAAATCAAAATTGTTAACTAGCCATTCAAATATTTCTGGTTTTGTTTGTTTGGTATTTGAGAGGTAGCTTCACAGGCCCGACTTACTATGGATCCACAGTGGTGATGTTTAGATTTTAAATGCAAATTTTACTGTTCTAGCTGATTAATAAAACATCTCCTAGTATTTGAAAATGTAAAATAAGAAAAGTTATTGAGGATAGATTGAATCCCTTACCGAATTCGATGAAACAGTATGGTCTAACTGCTGTATTCGTCTTCATCATGTTGTACGTGGAAATGTACTCTTTTTGAAGCTCATCCAGGAAGCAGAAGGCCAGGACACTGGGGTAATTTTCAGTGCAGAGCATCATGTAACTCACTCCCAGGGAACTAATAAAACTATATGCATTTCAAAATGAAATTCATGTATCCACAGCATGACTTACGGTAGCATTAAGTAATTCTACGTGCTATAACAAGAAAAAAACTGCTGTGCAAATAATGGAGACATTACTATTCAGGAGAAAATGACATCATATTCAACACAAAAAGGTTCTTTTTTGTAGGTAATGCATTCCCAAAGAATATGTGTAAAAAGACAATCAAAGATGTGTTTTCTTGTGTGTGTGTGTGTGTGTGGCATGCTAGAGTGTGCATGTGCACACACATATACATTTGGTGCTTATGCACACACAACAGATATATAAAGGCACAAGGCAAAGTAAACAGAAAAATTCAGTAACAAACCATTTTACAGCTTTTTTTTCCATAGAAGACGGGAAGGTAATTAGTTTGGAATATATTTTTAGAACACACGAAATACAGTTTGAGTATCCCTTATCCAAAATGCTTCAGATCATAGGTGTTTTTGGATTTTTTTTAATGTAATACCTATGTTTGCATGTATGTAAATAATGAGATATTTTGGAAATGAGATCCAGATTTAAAAACAGAATTCCTTTATGTTTCATATATATCTTATAATGTAGCTTGAGGGTAATTTTATACACATTTTGTTGATGAAATGAAATGTATGTACACTGAACCATGTTACAATCTCAGCCACTCATGTGAACAATTTTGGACTAGTTTGGATTTCAGAATTCCAGATAAGGGATACTCAAGCTGTACGTGTTTAAACAAACAAACAAATAAAAATATTTAATAGGTTCTTGTGGGGTTTTTTCGGGCTATAGGGCCATGTTCTAGAGGCATTTAAGACATGATGTTTTTATTTTTACTCCCACAAAATTATTTCTAAACACTATGTAGTATGTAAGAAAAAATATGTATGCATGTGTACAGGATATGGTCCTTGCAATTCCTTAGGTTTCCTTTCTTCAGTTCTTTTTATGAGAATGTGTGTTCAACACTATGGCGAACCAAAAGAAAACAAAATATGTTTCTTTGTTTTGCTAATAACAGTTTCTTCTCTTTTCACTGGATTTGTTTGTGTATATGCTATGCTCCTCTGGGAAATTCAAAGATAAACTACAGTGTAGCTCCATATCTAACAGTAACAATAACAACAACAATAACAACAAAAACTTTATTTCTATATTGCCCTATCTCCCAAAAGGGACTCAAGGAAGTGTACAACAAAAAATTAGCAAACATTCAATGCACAAGAAACATAACATAATCAAGCACTTCAAATAAACATAATAAAGCACTTGGTGCATTTCATCTATAATCATATGAATAAATTGTTACTTTCAATATTCCATACATTTTAATACACCAGATCAAATTAGATAAAATATTTTTATAAGTAAAGTAACAATATTATTTTCTATCTGTAAATATAGCATTTTTTTTGCTATGGTTCCAATATTCCAGTAATTGTGTGTCTCTACAAATGTCATTCCCACCCCTCCCCACACAAAAATGGGCTCTGAATCCTTTAATGCAGGAAAAAGGCATAAAAGAGAGTATATGGCTTTCTTCCCATCATCATTTATTTATCTGTAATGCACAACACGGCATTTTGTTCATTTCTAAAAGCAGAAACATGACTCTTCAGAATTATCTCTATGAATCAGAAAATGAGCTGGGGAATGACATTAAGAGAAGTAATCAAAAAATGAAGAAAATTCTCTCCTTTAATTGAAGCTCTGGCATATGCTTACAGTCTTCATATATTGAACACTCTATTAAAACAATGGACTAGCAGATTGCCTTGTTATGTAGCTTAGAACAAATTCTTAGAACAATTTGAGTTACCATATATATGACTAATGAAAGTCCCACTGATTTCAGTGAGACTCCTACAACAGTTCCTATGCCTGCATCCAACTCCAAAGCAATCCGACATCAACAGAAAAATGCAAAGAAATCTGTAGGCAGGAACCAACTCCCAATAATGCAAGAGTCCTACCATAGTGCTTCAAAAATTGAAACTAGGTAACCAGTGGCATTGGCATCACGTGCTGAGATGACATCCCCTGGCCTTGAACAGCATATTTTGCCCCATATTACATTCTATAGGATAACAATACCCATCAATCCTACAAGAAGAAAGCATCTCCATGTTCAGAAGAGCAGTGCAAACACTAGTCATACTGGATGCCAGTCAATCATGCTGGACAGCTGTCAGTCTGAGCAAATGACTACTGCAGAGAATTATCTAATGTGAATTTTGAATCTTCTGCCCTTATGGTAACAATGTTGATATGGGCTAGATAATTTTTAAAAGAGGTATTCTAACCATAAGAAGAGTCCAAAGGCCATATAAAATTAAGATGTCCAGAATCAAAGCCAGGGCTTTAAAAAAAATCCACTCGTGATCCTTTTCTGCCTGAGAATTTTTTTTGCAATCCCAGACATATAAATATATAAAATACGTATAAAAATTAAATATTTCCTTATAATAAATCAGCATTTGCAAGGCTTGCTAAACAGGCTGATTTTTATTTTCATAAAGTACAGCTCAACCATTTTCTGCAGGGTCCACTGTAAACACTGCAGTTTGTTCCCAACAGATTTGTGTAAAGTCTAGGTGGCATTCAGAAGCCTTTTACCACTGCCAAACTTTTTGCTATCTCAGCACTGAGCTAAGGGGGCCACATTTGGAATCAGACCCACAGTTTAAAAAGCAGTGGCCTAAACATGTAGCCCCAACTGGAGTAGGCTCACTGAATCAAAGCGGATGTGGTAAATCAAAACATAATTTCTGCTGAATCAATGGTAAATTGCGACTAACAATTCTATTTAGGCAATCAGAAGAAGTCACATTAAAAGGCCAGCTTTACAAACAGATACAAAAAATATAAATTACATCTAGACAGGCAGATTAAAATAATATTAAGTGCCTGGCAGGCCAAAAACACTGCAACTACCTTCTTAAAACACGTTGAAGAATAGGTCAGAAAGAGGGGTCCACAAGCTTGATATATCTGAAAATGGTGTATTTATGATGTATTCAACAAACATAGATCGGCAGAAAAATACAGAATACAGCTTCTATAGATGACTGCAATTGATACATAAATTTAAAAGGGGAAGGGAGGTTACAACAGGACTGACATGTTTGTTTTTCAATTAAAGCTAACTTTGTTTTTTCAAAAGCAAAACTCTTTGTCTTCACCATTATTAAAAAGGCCAACTATTTTATAAAAAAAACAATGCAGGGCAATCTTGTAGAAAAGAGATAATGTCCCAAAAACTTACTTTATGTTATAGCGTCCTGTTTGCAACGTGCATCTATCTGGCAACTGAGCAAGTCTCTTTGCCAGGGTCTTGAAGTACTTCCTGCACTCCTGCACCCCAGCACTTTGTTCATAATCGGTAGAGGCAGACAGAGGGAGTCCATCTCTCACACGGACGACGGAGGCAGACAAGATCATGGACATTGCCAGCAGGTACAAAGGAAGCCTACGTGAGAAGAGACACACAAAGTCATGTTTACTCTCCTGCTCATTCTTTACACTTGGAGATGGCATTACAAGGCATTAAAAACACAGAAGGCCCTCTCTTTATAGATGTAGATTGTAAAAAAATAACCATCATAATTGCTATAAGAGAAAAACACCCAAGCAGCAGTAAAAAAATCAACATATGCTGCTCAAATAATCCAGTATAACCTACATACTATCATTTCAATTCTTAGAGTGGCTTTCCATCTCTTTCTGATTCTTTGACTTTTATCTTTAAAGGTAACCTGGGCTGTTTAGCTCTATCTTTTATAACTTTCCATTATTCTTTTGTCCCACTACTTTCTCTTGTTCTGCTACTCCAAACTCAAATGTTAGCCCCATTAAACATAATTAGTTATGCAAAAGCCAGCATTGCACTTGTAAATATATTTGTTAATTGTTGTAGTTTCGCAAGGCTAAAGACCTTGTGAAACCACAACTCCAAGGATCCCATAGCAGAGAGCCACAGCAGTTAAACTGCATCCATTCCAGTATAAATGCACCTCCAGAGCACAGATTTTTTTCCAGTCATATGAACACTTATTCCTTACTGAGTTTGGGAATTATTTTATTTTCCTAAAAACTGATTTATGTCTGCAAACTATGGGTTTCTGCAAATGGGACTTGCCGTAAAATATTGCAGCGTAGAGGGCAATATTCCATTTACCATGTTAGCAATTAGCCAGCACTCTCTAGCCAAGACATCACCATTGAACGGCTGAGTGTTCTTTCTCCCCTTCGTTTTCCCTGCTGTATCTGCACAAACAGGAGTTTTGATACCATCTTGTGCATGAGTAATATGGTTTTAAGCTATATAATAAACAGATGAGCTGTGTTCTCTTTTAATACACAAGGATTTAGCTTTAGATATTGTTCCTCGCTATTAGATATGACACTTCGTAATATGTTCAAAACAGAAATTATTAAAACATTTATAATGCAAAAGTTATCACCAGTAATAATTCGCAGCAGGCATTTTAAAATGCATACTCGCAACCTCTCATAAAATATGGCCCACTATAATTAAGAAACACTCAAGTCTGTTTTAAAGTACTCATAAACTAAGCACAGTGGAGCTTTGCCAACAGAACAGTTAGGGGACTTTTAGTATAGGCAGGCTTCAAGAAGTCAGTTTAAAATGACAAATGTAGCATTGCTCTCTGATGAATAGCTGGATTTCTTTTCAAATCTAAAAATATAGAAGTGACCAGGGAATTGTCTAAGGAGTCACATAATGGTTGCTTGTATTTCTCCAGCTTTTAAGCTGATAGAAACTCCAGGGACTGTTCGGTAACTGCAGGGCTAAGAGACAGAAGCCCTTGGTCACATAGGGCCAAATGGCTACCTTCTCCCCATTAACAGAGGAAAGGCTGGATGCCATTGTTAAAGCACTCTTGGCTCCTTTGAATAAAAGTGTGGTAGGGACTTGCCTGGAGTAGAAGAGTCATAGAGGCAAGGCATGGCTAGCAAGGCCAAACAAACATGGTTATCTTATGCTATTTTACAACAAAAAGTGGGGAAACTGTGCCCTCCAGGCCACCTACAACCAACACAATTTTTGAACAATTACCCCCTTGGTGGTGTGGAGGGACTTCTATTGTTTGCTTCTTCCCTCGCTTCTTTAGGCCCAAGAAGAAATAGGAAGGTTTGATCACCTCCTAATTTAAAAAAACCTCTCCTGAGCCTATAAAAGCCCAGGGTGGCCACAAATGTGGCAAAACACTCCATATGTCCACTGTGGTATGTTTCAGAACATTGGACAGCCCAAAGTAAAGTTTGGGGGGGGGGGTTGTACCAAGGAGTTGCATCTGTTGAAATATCTATTGTTGTGGCCTATAATGAATCCAATATATTGTTAATCAATTCAGTTAGGTAAACTGACTAATGAATTCTTGTACCACTTAATATTTTTCTTCTCCTGTTTGTTTTAGTTCTTACCTCTCCACTGAAAATTACAAGATCCCACTCAAGTTTAATGTAGCACAGAATATAGAGCTTCCCAAAATTGAGTGAGAGTTGTGTTGTAATGATACTGAAGAAGCTTCACTAGTTCACTATTTGCTTATGGTTGCAATTAAAACTGCTTTCTTTTAAAGCTACCAAAAGGTGAGGAACACAATATCTTAGGCTGTTGTCTATGGCTTGGCACCCCAGTTACACAATTCGACTGAAACTTATAAAAAACCTGCCCTGGCATTTCAAAAAACTAATTTGTTCCATAGTCTTAACTATCTTTAAATGTTTTTTTCTCACTTGCTGTGTTTCTTGGGTGCCATCAAATCCAGCAGCCAGCGCCAAAAGCAAGGCGCTGGCTGCTGGAGTTGATGAACAACTGCACTGCATCCTGTCAGATCCCCAAAATCTGGAGGAAAGCAAGAGTCATCGCCATCTTGAAGCCAGGCAAAGACCGCAATGACCCAAAAAGCTACAGACCAATCTCTCTGTTGTGCCACCTCTACAAAGTTCTGGAGATACTTATTTTGCATAGAATTACGGAAAAAATAGACCCATGTCTGATCCCACAGCAAGCTGGCTTCAGAAAAGGCAAATGCTGCACATCGCAAATGTTGAACCTGACTCAGCACATAGAAGATGGCTTTGAAAGGCAGCAGATCACGGGAGCTGTCTTCATAGACCTGT